CAACCCCAAGGATCTCATTCCTGATCCCAACCCCAACCCCAAGGATCCCGTTCCCAGCCCCAGGGATCCAGCTCACCACCGTGTGCCCTGCAGGAGCCCGGACAGCCTGAGGGCCTCCCCGCAGAAGGCCCTGGCCCGGCACAGCACCTCGGCCCGGCCCAGCAGCGTCACCAGGCGCTCACAGCACCACAGGGCCTCCCCCAGCACCTCCCACTTCAGCACCACGTTGGCACCTGAGGGGGCACGGGGGCAGAAGGGAGGGGATGGATCCGGCCCAGGGGAAGCCTGAGCTGTTCCAGAGGCTTCAGGTCGTCCCTGGAGGAGCCCAACTCACTGCAGAGGGTCCTGACCCCTCCCAAGGAACCCAACTCATTCCAGAGGCTCCCAATCCTTTCCAGGGATCCTACCCCATTCCAGAGGGTCCCCCCTCCCCTCTTACCATAGTCCTGGAACTGCTCTGCCCCCTCGTTGCTCCGGGAGCCCCCCAGGATGTCAAAGCCCAGGAGGAAGATGATGACACTGCGAAGGAGCTTCTGGACCTCCATCAGGGCCACCTTGGGGGTCTTCCAGCCTGGGGGGGTTTGGGAGGGGGGTCAGCACCAAGGAAAGCCCTTCCTAGCCCCCCCCAGCATGGAGACACCCCCAAAATTCCCTCTTCCAAATTCCCTCCTCCTCACACCAAACCCTCTTCTTCCTCTTCAAATCGAACTTTCCTCCTCATCCCCCAACTCCCCCTTCCTCCTTATCCTCAAACCCCCTCCATCCTTCCTTCCTCACCCTCAAACTCCTGCCATTCCTCCTCATCATCCTCAAAATCCCAGAGTTTAAACCTTTCCAGGACCCTCCATCCCCCCAGAGACTCCTGGGACCCTCCTCCCCTCTCCCTGTGTCCCCCCTCTAGGACCCTCCATCCCCCCTCCCCACCCCTCCAATTCCCCCCAGGGGTGACTCCCACCCTGCCAGTCCCACCTTTCCGGTGCAGCCGGTGCCGGAGCTCTGGATCCAGGTGTGCAGGGGCCATTCCCAGGTATGTGGCCACCACCTGGAGCCCCTGGGCCTGGAGCAGGTACCAGCCCTTGGTGGCCTTTTGGGCCAGGGGGCTCTGGAGAACCTGCAGGAGCAGGGACAGCCCCTCCTCCACCTAGGAAAAAATCGGGATTCAGGGATTGCATGGGTCCTCCACATCCATAATTCCCTCCTGTCCTACTTTTGGGGGGTCTCTGCACCCCTCAAACTCCCTCTTCCCACAACTTTTGGGGTAAAAAGGAGCCCTTTTGGCTTTACTTTTTGGCTGACACAGCACAGGTGGCTCCGGAGCAGGAGGCAGGAATGTTGCAGGAGCTGCTGGGATTCATCTCCACCTGGGAATTCCCTCAGGATGGACTCCAGCTCTTCCAGGAAAACCTGAGAATGCCACACTGGGATGAACACCAGGACCTCAGGGATTATCCTAATCCTGACCTGGTCATTCCCAGGATGTTGGAGGAGCTGCTGGGAATTCCTGTGGGATACACTCCAGCTCCTCCAGAAAAACCTGGGAATGCCACACCGGGATGAACACCAGGACCTCAGGGATCAACTAAACCATTCCAGAGGGTCGTTCCAGGCTCACCTGGGCATGAGTGGGACATTCCAGCTGCAGGAGCAGGCGGGTGAGGTGGGACAAGGCCCAGGCAGCGCCGGGAGTGTCACTGAGGCTCCGGCACAAGGAGCGGAGCAGCAGGAAACTCTCCAGGGCTTGGATGGGCTGGGAAGCACAAAATCCACTGGTTACACCCCAAAGCCACCTCCTGGGGGGTCTCCCGGTGGTCCTGGGGGTCTCACCTTGGCCAGGAGCTTGTAGAGGGTGGCCAGGAGGTGCAGGGAGGTCACGGTTTGTTCCAGGCTCCGAACACAGGGAATTCCAGGGGATTCCACGAGCTGCTTCCATAGGGAAAAGGCTTCGTCCAGGCTTTTGGTCAGAGCTGAGGGGACACCAAGGGGCTAAGAGAGCTTGGACAGAGCCAGGCAGGGCCAAAAGGAGGATTCCCAGGCTGACACCTGGCTCTTCCCAAAAGAAAAGCTCTTCCCACCCCTCCAGGGTCCCAGAAAACCCCCTCCTGGTCCCCCAGCCCCCTCACCCCTGTCGGTGTCCAGGGTGCAGCTGATCCCATCCTGCGGATCCAGCTCCTCTCCCGCCCTTCCTTCGGCATTCAGGTCGTTGGGCTCAAACTCCTCCAGGTTCCTGCTGCCCTGGGTCCTCCCCCTCTGCTCCCTCTCCATGCCCTGGGAATTTGGGACACCACAGGAGGCTCTGGATGGGTCCAGGACACACCCAGACCTCCGGGATTTTCCAAAATCCTGGGAAAAAACAGCCCCTTTGAGCCCTTGATCCACAAAACCTTTTCCATGTGGGCCTCAAGGGTGCAGATGTGGAGCCAGAGCAGGGCCTGGGCCTTCTCATCCAGGAGCTGATCCCGGTTCTGGGAATTCTGGGGCACCTTTTCCAGCAGCCTCAGGGCCTCCCGGATTGCGTCCAGTGCGGAGCTGCCAGGAAGAGGGGTCAGGAAACCCTCCTAAAATCCCTGGTGATCCACAGGGGGATCAGGAACAGCCCCCAAAACCTCTGGAGATCCACAGGAGAGGGAGAGGAACACCACAGGGCTGAGACCTCAAACAGGGACAGGGGATCCCAAAAAACCTGTTCCCAGATGGACACTCAACAAAATGGGCCTGGAAAAGCTCTTCCCACCCCACCAGGGTCCCAAAAAAACCCTTCCCCCCCTCCAATACCCTCCCCCACCCCAGACCCACCAACCCTCTCCCCAAAACCCCAAACCCAAAACCCTCCAGTGCCTCCACCACTCCCGGGGGGGCATTTGGGGTGGGGGTGGTCCCAGGGCACCCACCAGTCGGTGTGGGGGGCGAAGCTGTGGTAGCACAGGACCTGGGCCAGCTCCAGGAGCCCCAGAGCCCTCGGGAGGAGCCCCCCCGGGGTCCTCGGGGCAGAGCTCCAGGAGGTCACACAGGACGTTGTAACGCTCCGGCCCCGTGTCCCACTTCAGGCACTTGTAAGCCTGGAGCTCGGCCAGCAGGAGGGACACCAAGGTGGCCCTGTCCAGGGAATGGCCTTCCAGGGAGTCTCTGAGGGTTCTGGGGGAAGAAATCCCGTTGTTTTCATGGATTCATGGAGTGGGTTGGGAGGGACATTAAAGCTCATCCCATCCCACCCTCTGCCTTGGGAACTTCACTATCCCAGGCGGCTCCAGCCTGGCCTGGGACACTGCCAGGGATGGGGCATCCTCTGGGAAATCCATTGCAGGGCCTCCCCACACTCTCAGCAGCTCCCAGTCCCCACCACAGTCCCTCCCAGTCCCCCAGTTCCCCCTCACCGCAGCCGCAGCTCCTCCTGGCCCTGTTTGGCCGCCTCTGATTTGATCCTGGCCCAGAGTCCCACGGGCTCGTGCAGGAGCCCCCCCCGGCTGGGCCTTCAGAACCCCCCCCAGGCTGGGCCAGGGCCAGGAGCCACGTGGTCACCGAGCCCAGAGCCCGCTCTGGCCGCCCCAGGCGCTTCCAGCTCTCCACCTGCATCCGGAAACACTTGTGGAACTGTGGGAGGACAGGGAGAGAATAGGTGTGTGGGGAGGGAATTCCAGGGCTTCTGTATCCCCCTTAACCTGCCCTGGGCCAAGGGAAGGGTTGGGAGGTGGGAATTGGGATTGTTCCAGGAAGAAAACCAGTCCTCCCGTCACTGGTAGGAATCCCAGTATCATCCCTGTGTCCGTCCCCACCTGGGAGAAGGGAACATGGGAATTGGGGCTGTTCCAGAGGCTAAGCCATTCCTATCCTCTCAGCTCCTCCCCTCGCTGGGATAATCTCATGTCTGCCTTCCCACCCTGGAACAAGGGAAGGGCTGGGATTTGGGGTTATTTCAGGAGGAAAAGCTGGTCCCATCCTCTCTCCCTTCACTGAGACCATCCTGTCCCACCCAGGACAAGGGAATTGCTCAGAGCTGGGAACAGGGGCTATTCCAGGACCAAACCCCTCCACTGTCCCCCTCCCCATTCCCAGCCCCCCATACCCTCTCTGGGGGGATGTCAGGGCAGCCGTAGCCCCCCAGTTCCCCCACCCCCCTGCAGAAGGGCTCGCAGATGGTTCCGGCCTCCTCCAGAAAGTTCCGGCTCTGGAAGGCGAAGCCCAACTTGAAGGTGCACGAGGCTGTGGGGAGAGGGACCCCCAAAGTCACTGAGAGAGCCCCCTCCCCCCCCACAAGGGGACTGAGACCCCCCAGGTCAGGGACAAGGGCTCCCCCTTGGTGGCACTGACCGGTGACATCGAGGAACTTGGCCCTGTCGGTCTCGGGGAGCCCCCCCCAGAGCCTCCACCATCCAGGTCACGCTTCGGGTGCAGCTCCTGCTCACCTGGGCCAGCCCCAGCCACCCTGAGGGCTGGAGGGACAGGGGGGTCAGCAAGGGGGTCACTTCTACAGCCCCCAAAGAACCACCCCCAGGGCACCTTGAGCCCCCCCTTCCAACCCCACCAAGGGGAGAAGCCTCCAGGACTCCCAGAAATCCCCCAGGGTGGCTCAAGCCCCCCTTCCAACCCCACTAAGGAGGGGAGAAGCTTCCAGAACCCTCTCAGGGCACCTCCAACCCCCTCTTCCAACCCCAAGGTGCTTCCAGCACCCCAAGGGTCTTATCCTGAGCACCCCAAACTCCCCTTTCCAACCTCACCAACAAAGGGAGAAGATTCCAGCACTCCCAGAACCCCCTCGGGGCCACTGAAGTCCCCCTTCCAACCCCAAGGGTCCTGGGGGTCCATCCTGGGGGTACCTGGGAGCCCTGGAAGGTGTCGTGGATGGTGTTGGAGAAGAGCTGGAGGCTCCGGAACAGGAGTTGCTTCACTGTCACCTGCTGCTTGAGGGCATCGGGGGGCACCTGGAGGGGGGAAGAGGGGTTCAGGGAGGGCAGGAGCTCCAGGAGCTGGGAATGGGGACAGGCATGGACCTGGGAATGGGAAAAATGGGGATCAGGAGCTGCAAGATCTCTGGGAGCTGCTGGGATGGACCTGGGAAGGGCAGGGAAGGAGGGAAGTGGGATTTGGGGGTTCAGGAGCTCCTGGAGCTGCTCCTGGCAACACAAACACCGGAGAGGGACACAGAGGGTTCACACAAAGTGAACCCCAACCCCAAAACAGGGTTACATCCCCCCACAGCTGCCCCCAGACCTGCTCCCAGCCCCCCCCAGTCCCTCACCCTGCCGAGCAGCCGCTGCAGGGCCCAGCAATGCCCCTCGGTGAAGGCGCAGAGCCCGGGCAGGTCCTCGAGGCTGAAGGGCAGCTCCCGACTCCTCCTCGTCCCCTCCCCGAGCTGGGCTGTCACAAACCGGGCCCCCTCCAGCAGCACCCTGAGGGTCCTCTCTGAGCCCTCCCCACTCAGTGCTGCAGCTGCCTGGGACAGCAGGGGCCCTGGGGGGGGACCTCCCCTTTCCCAGCTGGATCCCGGCCTCCAGCAGCGCCAGGGGGGCCCCCAAATCCTCCCTGGAGCGCCCCAGGAATGCCTTGGCCTCCTCCAGGGCCTCCAGGGCTTCGTGGAACCTGCCAGCCCTGCAGAGGTGCCTGGAGCACTCCAGGGTGAGCTCCAGGAAGCACAGGGAGTGTTGGATCCCGGGAGGATTTGGGGCTTCATCCCGGAGAGTCTCCAGGAGGAATTCCCGGAGCTGCCGGGCCAGGAACACAGGGCAGGGAGCCCTCTCGGCCTCGTAGAGGGCAGAGGCTGCTGCTGCCTTTTGGGCTGTCTGGGAGGTGAAGAAGGGGGGCTGCAGAGGGGGAAGAGACCCCCCGTCCCGCTCCAGCAGCAGCAGAAAGCGCAGGGCACGGATCTGGGCAGAAAACAGGGATCTTCCCTCTTCCCGAGGCCGGTCAGGCCCTGCCAGGGCCGCTGCCCCTTTCCAGAGGACACAGAAGGTGTTGTAGGTGACAGTGGTGAAGTCCTTGGGGGGGTCCTGGAGGGGGGTGTAGGCTCGGAGTCGCTCCCGCAGCAGCTCAGCCGCAGCCCAGCAGGAATTCCCGGTGCTCCGGCAGGAATTCACGGCGTTCCTGAGCAAGTGGAAGAGGATCTTCTCCAAGTACAGGCCCGGGGGGTTTGGGACCACGCTGAGGTAGCCCCTGGCAGCCTCCTGGGCCAGGGCCACGAGGGGAGGGCCAGGCCCCCCCCAGGCCCAGCTGCTCCACACACGATCGGAGCACGCGGTCACACGTCTGGAGCCGTCGCTGCCGGGATGGGGGGGGCACTCCCGGGGGGATCCGCAGGGATTCCTGGGGGGAGACAGGGACTCAGACCCCGGGATGAGGGAGTCAAGACCCCTAGAACCCAGCCCTGAGCCCCCCGAGGGTCATTTCCTGGGGAAAAGAGCGACTCAGACCCCCAGTCCCCAGCCCAGAGTCAGCCAGGGGGTTTGCCAGAGGGATCCAGAGCCCCTCTGAATGTCCTTTTCTGGGGAAATGAGGGAGTCAGACCCCACAAACCCAGCCCAGAGCCTCCTGAGGATCCCCCTGAGAGTCCCTCAGCTCACCCACAGCTGGTGGGTCCCAGTGAGATCCAGAGGGTTTCCTGGGAATAAGGGAGTGAAGACCCCATATCCCAGGTCAGAGACCCCCCAAGAGTCCCCCAGCAGGATCCAGAGGTTTTCCTGGGAAAAAAAGGACTCAGCCTGCAGCCCAGAGCCCCCTCCCCAGGGAGGGACCTCCAGCTCACCCTCAGCTTCTCCAGCCTCTCCTCGATGTCGTCCCACTTCTCCTTCCCATCCATCCTGGGGTGTTTCCAAGGGGCTTCCAAAGTGATGTGGGGCTGGGGGAGGCAGGGGAAGGTGTGGGACCCTCACAGCCGCCCCCGAGCTCACAAACCCCCAAAACTCACAGCCCCCCCCAGGCCCCACATCCTCAGGCCCCCAGCCCCAATATCAGGCCCCCGAACTTCCCCTTCAGGCCCTCTCAAAATCCCTCAAAATCCCTCCCATTTTTGCAGCCCCTCAGGCCTTTCCCCCCGCCCCCCTTTTGTCCCTTCCCTCTCACAGCCCGCCTCCCCAGGACCCCCGGGACCCTCAGCCCTCTGAGGGGGTCCCAGGACCTCCGATCTCCCCTCAGGATAACCCAACGCCCCGCCCCCCGCTGCCCTCAGGCCTTTTCCCCCCCTCTTTGCCCTCTGGTTCCTCCTCACCGACCCCCTCCCCCCCCAGCCACCTTCCCCGGCCCCCCTGGCCCCCCTGACCCCCCGATCTCCCGCAGCCCCCGCGATCTCCCGCAGCCCCCCCCGATCTGCCCCCCAGGACCCCCCAAACCTCCGCTCACGTTCCGCGGCCGCTCCTTTTCGGCCACCAGGGGGCACCTCGCGCCGCGCGCGCGTTCGAATCTCCGCGACGGCCAATCAGCGCTCGGCCCCGCCCCCGGGCCCGCCCTCCGCGTGGGGCATCACGGGAGATGTGGTTTTTACGCCAATAGCGAGGCACGGGTGCGCACGCGCATAGAGGGGAGGGCGGTGGGAGCGCAGGGGGGTCAGTGGTGTGAGGGGCGTGGTCACAGCAAAGGAGGTGTGGTCATTGTGATGGGGCGTGGTCACCGTAAGGGGGCATCCCCAGGTGTCCCCATGTGTCCCGCAGACCACCCTGGGGTTCCCCTCTGTTTCCAGGTGTCCCCAGGTGTCCCCTCTATTCCCAGGTGTCCCCAGGTGTCCTCCCTGCCCCCAGGTATCCCTCTGTCTCCAGGTGTTCTCAAGTGTCCCCACGTGTCCCCTGGACTCCCCTGGGGGTCCCCCCTGCCCCCAGGTGTCCCCCCCCGTCCCCAGACACTCCCTCCCCCTCTCCAAATCAGAAGCCGCAGCTCCAAACCCAGAGCATTTTATTGGGGCGGGGGGGGGGACAGACCACACGCGGGGCCCGGGGGTGTCCCAGGGGTATCCCAGGGGTGGGGTGACAACACTGGGCCCCCCTTCCCCCTCGGGGGTGGCGGCATGCGGGGGGGGGTGGCGGTTTGGAGGTATTTTCGGGGCGTTATGATGCTTTTTACAGGCGGGCACTGCGAGGGGTGGGGTGGCATGATCCCCATCCCAGCTCCCTGAGCCCCCTCCCCACGTCACGAGGCGGGGTCAGGCAGGGTAGATGATGAAGCCAGAGAAGGTGCTGGACTTGGGGATATTTTTGGGGTGGTTTTGGGGTGGTTTTATGGGGTTTATGAGCGGGGACTGCAGGTCGTGGTGTGGGGACAGCAGCGGGGGGGCGGAACCCCGTCCCAGCGTCCCGAGCCCCTTCCCCGTCCCGGGGAGGTCAGTCGGGGTAGATGATGAAGCCAGAGAAGGTGCTGTACTTGTTGGTGTTGCCCCCGTGCACTTTGCCCCCATCGAGCTTCACGAACACCTCGTCGCCCACGTCCAGGTGCAGGATGACGCTGTTACTCGCGTAGTCGTAGTTCTGATCCGCGTCCTGCGCGATGGCGCTGGCACGGACCTTGGGGGGGGCACGGGGGTCAGGGACCACCCCCCATCCACGAGGGAATGGGCGATGAGGTGCTCGGGACCCCCACGGGGTGCTCAAGGTCACGGTGTCCGGATGGGGCAGAGCCGATGTCCCCCCCGGGCCACGAGTGTAACCGAGGAGGACACCTGGAGACACCTGGGAACATCTGGGTAGAGCCCCTCCCGCACCACCGGGATCCCACAGGATAACAGGGGCACCCCGGGGGTCCCACAGGGTGATAGGGAGACCCCCCCCACCCAGGGCAGGCTCCAAGAACAGTGACCAGGAGCACGGGACCCTGCCAGGCCCCTGTGCAGCCCCTCCTCGGACCAGGGATGCCCCAGGGGGACATGGGGACAGCTCGGTTTGGGGGGGCATCCTGGGGGGACATCGACCACCTTGGATCGATCCTTGTTTTTCCCGGAATAAAAGGATGGGAAGAGTCCTGGGGTGAGGCCATTCGGGAGCAAACAAAGGGAGTGGCCAAGGGGGCACAGCCCACTGACCCCCTGTGCTGGGGGTGTTCCGGTGATCTCCTACAGCCCCCCCCAATTTCCCACCAGTTCCAAGCCCATCATTCCCAGGGGATTGTGGCCCCCTGGCCCCTATGGCAGGACTCCCAGGAATGGGGAGGTTGTGGCACCAAGGCTGAGGAGGGATGGGGGGGTGTCACTCCCCCCGTGGTACCAGAGGGGGAACAGGGTGGGAGCAGATGGAGGGGGGGGAGAGGGTGGGAACTGGGGGGGTTGGATGGAGAAAATGGGATGTGGGACTTGGGAGGGAGGAACTGGAGATGGGGAATTGGGAATGCGGGAAGAAGATGGAAATTGGGGTGGGATTAGATGAGGGAAATGGGATGGAGGAAATGGGATGTGGATTCTGGGGTGGGAGGAACTGGGGATGGGGAATCAGGAATGTGGGGGAAAGGACAGATATTGGGGGAGAAGTGGATGGTGGAAATGGGATGTGGGAAGGGGGAAGGAACTGGGGATGGGGAATCAGGAGTAGGAGAAAATCGAGATGGGAATTGGGGGGTATTGGATGGGGGAATGTGGGATCCGGGGGAGGTAGGAACTGGGGATGGGGAATTGGGAGCGAGAGGAAGAGGGAATTGGGGAGAATTGGATGGAGAAAATGGGACGTGAGGATCTGAGGGGCAGCAGAAGTGCGGATGGGGAATCAGGGAGGGGGGAAGCAGGATAGGAACTGGGGGTGGGATTGCATGGGGGAAATGGAACGTGGGGACTCGGGAGGGAGGAACCAGGGATGGGGAATCGGGAATGGGGGGAGTGTATGGGAATTGGATGGGGGAAACGGGATGTGGGGATTTGGAGGGGAGTGGGCTGGGGGTGGGGAATCGGGAATGGAGGGGGAGAGAATGGAAATTTTGGGGGGAGAGGATGGAAATTGAGGAGCATGGATTGGATGGGGGAAATGGGATGTGAGGATTTTGGGGGGGAGTAGAACCGGGATGGGGAATCAGGAATGGGAGAGAACCAGGCCAGGAGAGCTAAAATTAAGGAAAACCAAACCAGGAAATACGGGACGGGTGTAAACAAAAAACCAGGACGGGTGTAAACAAGGAAACCGAGGCACCACAAGTTGGGTGGGGAAACCGGCATGGGGAAAACCTGGATGGGGAAAACCGGGATGGAGGGGGAGCATACGGAGAGACATGGGGCCGGCAGAGGGCAGGGGTGGGCCCGGGGGTCTCTCCCCGCGTTACCTGCCCGTTTTTCATGAGGTCTGCCCACATGCTGGTGCCGTCCCCGCCGCGCATGAGGACGTGGTAGGTGAAGAAGTAGATGCCGGGCAGGGGGCACGTGAACTTGCCGCTGGAGGGCTCGTAGTAGTTGCCCACGTTGGTCACCACGTCGTCGAACCGCAGCACCTCGTAGCCCTCGTGGGGCTTCCGCAGCCCCGCGTAGAAGGCGATTTTGGGGCTGTAGAAGGACGGGATGTACCCCCCGGGTCCCGGCCCCGGGGGTCCCGGCAGGCCCGGCCGGCCCGGCTCGCCCGGGGGCCCCCGCGGGCCGGGGGGTCCGGGGGGTCCCCGCGCTCCGGCGCGGCCCCGGCGGCCCGGGGGGGGCTGCGGGGAGGCCGGGGGGGGCGGCTCGGGGTAGGGGTCGCAGACCATGCGGCAGCTCCCCAGCATCTCGTAGTGCGCGGCCGCCTTGGAGCTGTGCACGAGCAGCGGGATGGCCACCAACAGCACCAGCACCATCGCCACGCCCGCGGCCACCCCGGCCACCCGCCGCCGCCGCCGCAGCCGGGACGCGGCCACGGCCAGCAGGTCCTGCTCGCCCTTGGGGGCGATGGTGGCGATAGCGGGGGGCGCGCAGGGGACGCCCCCGGGGCAATCAGGGCACGGGGAGGGCGGGGGAGGAGGGGATGGGAGTGGGATTGGGGATGGGAATAGAGGCAGGGATGGGGATAAGGATGGGGACAGGGATGGGGACAGAAACGGGGCTGGGGGTGGGGAAGAGGGCGGGGATGGGGACAGGGATGGGGACAGAAACGGGGCTGGAAATGGGGACAGGAATGGGGATGGGGACAGAAACGGGGCTCAGATGGGGCTGGAGATGGGAACAAGGATATGGATGATGACAGGGATATGGATGGGGACAGGGATGGGGATGGGGATGGGGACAGCAGCCGAGGCCGGGGCTGGAGCTGCGGGTGGAGGCAGGGATGGGACTGAGGGCAGGGATGGGGCCGAGGATGGGATCAAGAGCGGGGATGAGACCGAGAGCTGAGATGGGGCCGAGGACGGATCGGGAGCAGGGATGGGACTAGGAATGGGGCTGGGGACGGGGCCGGGAGCGGAGCTGCGGGGGGAGCCGGAGATGGGACCGGGAGCGGGGCTGTGGCTGTTCCTGACGCTGGGACCGGGAGCGGGGCTGGAGCTGCGGGTGGAGCCGGGACCGGCGCTGCTGAAGGGAATGAAGCCGGAGCCGACGATGGTACCGGAGCGGAGCCGGGAGCGGAGAGCGGAGCTCCTGCAGCAGCAGCCGGGACCGGAGCCGGTGTTGGAGCTGGTGATGTAACCGGAGCCGGGATGGAGCTGGGAAGGACCCGGGAGCGGAGCCGGGAACGAGCCGGGATGGAACCGGGATGGAGCCGGGATGGAGCCGGGAAGGACCCGCGACCGAAGCCAGGATGGAACCGAAATAGAGCCGGGGAGGATTCGCCACGGCGCGCGGGGCAACTTCTCCCCAAGTTGTCCGTGAGAGGGACCCCCGGGACCGGGACCCCTGGGAATGAGACCCCCGCGAATGAGACTCCCGGGAGCGGGACCCCC